CATAATCAATTCATTATGAGAACAAGCAACACGAGAGAATTCTTGAAGAATCTTCTAGTTCTTCAGTATATGCTTATCTGAATTCTCAAATAGCTCATTTAAAAATGGCAAATGAAAACTTCAAGTTTATCATGACATGTGCTATCTCTAAGTAAACTTCTAGTTTACTATGGCATAAACTTTTGTATTAGTAAATTTTTGATTTACTGTAGCTACTTTTGTATCAGTAAATTTCTGGTTTACAGTAGCTACTTTTGTCTCAGTAAAACTTCTGGTTTACTGTGATACATGATATAGTACAAATTGAAGAATAAGGCGGGTCACTTCTCACACACATATTATTTTACCCCCTTTGATTGTGGAAACATGAAGATTTTCAATCTTCCACTCATTTGTAGTCTCAATATGGTAGCCATTTGTATTAGTTAACTTCAGATTTACTACAATATATGTTTTGACATAATCATATAATATGAATGACATATTTATATATAAGCTCTTCGAGAGCCTTAATTTATTATCCACAATCTAATATTATTTGGACACTACTGGTGTCACGTGTCTTCTAGACAAACAATTAATTTTTCAGGAGTTTTTGATACATTTTGTACTATCAAATATTGCTCAAACACTTCTGGTATCATGAGAGAAAATCATAATCAAACAAAAAATATAAAGACAATTGTTTAAGCACAAGAAAACACCTCTTCATAATATTTTCCTACTTCAGGAGGAAATTTCAATTGTGTTACTTCTTCAGGAGCAAATTTAAAATACGAAATATTGAGTATATATTCCATCAATCATATTAACTCTTCTGGAGGTGAATTGTAACATATTTACATCAAGAGCGCGTTCATATTTACGGCTTTATTAATATTATTACATTCACTTCAGGGAATGGATTAATATTTATAAAAAATTCTCATCCTTCAGAAAATCGAACATAATTATCTGAACGCGCATTAATCACATCAAATTGTGATGCTTCAACCTCTTTTAAAATATTTACTACTTCAGGAGCAAATCGAGGCGTGCATGTAATATAGAGAATGTTTCTCTAGCTTATCTTTAATTGTAACCATAGAAACCTAAATTATCACTTCTGGTGGTCATAGGCATATACCACTTCTGGTGGTTAATAAAATTTAGTTATAATGAGATATACGAAATATAACCACTTATGGTGGTTATATATTTCCTGCAAACTCTGCTAGAGTTTAAGTGGATCTAACAATGTTATCCATTTTTTAGTCCTTTATTAAGATAATTAGGATGAAAACAAATACCAAAATAGGTATTGTAAACGTAATATATAACCATGCAAACGATGACAAAGATATAAAAATATAAGCAAAAAGCTCAAATTAATTTACGCGAATTTGACCACTCCAGATTGTCAATCTTCAATGCCTCACTTGGTGACTTTGCAATCGATAGTTTGTAGAAGTGGTAAGAGTTTGTCTTTATTGTAAGTAATGGTGTCCTGGACAAACCTCTTCCGCCCAAAATCCCAACATTTGACAGTACAATCTCTGCCCTGGCTGATAACTTTATTATCCCCAAGAACAGGACTTGCAGCAACAAAAATAATCCCATGTGCTGCACTATGCACCCAAGCAGATGAAACTATACGATGCTCGTAGCACTGACACCGGGGCCGGCGCTGGTCTTTTGCTCATGCCTTGTTCTTGCTTCGTACCTTGGAGTATTTGTTCGAGATGTAAGAGTCTAGTGCTGATAACGTGTTATAAAATAAAGATAGTAAAGTAAAGACAAGTATAGAGATAAACTGGTATATTATTCAAACTTCAAACTTGTGTATATAATGAACTGAAAACTCCTCTATTTAGAAGAAAGGAAGCAGCTGCGAGGCTTTTCATGAAGCAACTGCAAGGCTTTTCTTTAACTGCTTGTAAGTTGTCTGTATGAGCTGCTTGCAACCTACCTGTTTAATAGGAAGCTGCTGCAAATCATTTTATTGAGCTGCTTGCAACCTGCCTGCATCATCTGCTTTTGTAGATAAACTTCAATAGAGTACTAAATAGATAATCTTCTTCAGGAAGATTATCTATAACGGAGTAATAAATGGATATCCACAATATAATTATTTTCATAACAATCTTTTAATTTTTACTCCTTAAAATACTCCACATTTTTTCATCAGCAAGACAGAACGATGCACAAAGTATTTCGTGTTTATGTAGGGTCAAAGTAAGGTTGTGTTCCAAGAAAGTGTGATGTAAACAATCGTTGCTCTAACACTTTAAATATAAATATTAGTGGCTAATTTAACGACTCAAACCGTGATCTATAAGCTACGTAAATATAATTCTAATGTTGCTCTAAGGTTCTCATTCACCTTTTTCCAACAAACCCAAAGAAAATGTAATGAGAAAACATTATTTTCCATTAAATCTCATACGGATTTAGTTAAAGGACTTTGTTTAGCATCAGATGAGAAGTGATTTCAATTAATTCAAAACAATTATTCAATCAGAAAAAGAATAAACAGAGATCTTATGGTTTTTTAAGGAGCATCGGATAAGCCTATCGGATACATCACATAATAACAATATTATATACATAGCAATTTATAAGAAATAGCAAGTCGAAATAATAAATATCTTTTTTTTTCTTCAGAATATTAGTATTCCACCAAATGGGCTACGTGGCAAGGAGCCAACCGTTAATTAGGTGTGGGGACCATTTAAGACATGTGGGAACCACCGACGTGCCACGCGTCAACGGCATCTTATGCATTTTGGTTGGGTGTCATGTGGATTAATTATTTTTTAATTTAATGTTTATATTGTTTCATTTAATTTAAAGGAGTGATAAGATCACCGCTGGTGACCGGAAAAGAAAACAGCACATCCACCGATTTTTAAGGAAGATTTAATCCAAATAGTCGTTCACCTAATTACATAAACTTAAAATAATAGTGAATATATAATATATATATTGATTAGAAAAAATAAATATTAAATCTGACGGTTATTAGTGCAACAATCCCATTTTTACCTTAAACCTGCAAGCCAGAATATTTTTTATTTTTTACTTGATTTTCGATATCTTATACTAAAAGAATATACTCTTTCCAAAATTTTATTTTATTCTCGCGATTCGAATCCCAAATCTAATTATAGGGATGGTAGGACATTTGTTACTGGAACTCAAGTACACCATATATTTTAATTGACAAATGATATTCTTTATTCAAGTATTTTCTTTGGTGTAAATAAACTAAGGGCTGGTTTGACTCCCGTAACAAAAATGTATGAATTGTATTGCAGCTATTTATATGGTGAATAATAATAATACTCATTCTTTATGTGAATTATTTTTTTTTTAGTCTGTACAAAAAAAAAAAATCTCTTTTCATATTTGAAAACAGTTTACTTTTCACACAAAATATATGTGTCTCATTTTACACTTCAAATTCAATTTTTTTTTCTTAACCTCCGTACTTAGTCAAATAAATTCATATAAATTAGCACGAAGGGAGTATAAAATTTGTTGTTAATTATTTTAAGAATTTCCCTTTAGTTACTCTTATTCAGATACGCAATACTTGTACTTATTTTACAATCCTATCATGCATCCGCGTACAATATAGATTCTTATATAATTTATGCGAATATTAGTAGGCGTTTGGATATAAAAATCGTAATTTTGGAAAAAAATAGTATTTTGAGTTAAGTTAAAAAATTGTATTTGAAATTAGAAATTATGTTTGGACATGCATATTACTTGAAAAAATATTGTAATTTTGTGAGTGAGAGAAAAACAATTCTAAAATTTTTGAAAAACTCATTTTCGATAAATTTTCAAAAATTTGTAAAATTTCACGGACAAACATATTTTTGAAAAAATTAAGAAAAAGAAAAAATTTGTATGGACAAACATTGCCTTAGCAATACAACGTTTAAAAGTCAACAAAATGCTATATTATTAAGAAATTATTATCAATTTGTATTACTATAATATAATATTACGAAACAGTAAATTTCTGTAACATAAAACAGAAATAAGGCAGAAACTGGATATTGTCAGAAATCAGAATTAGAAAATAATTTTCGAAATGAAATTGAACTCACTGAATGCACAGTATGTCCTTAAGGAAATTATCCCCTCAAGTACCCGAGGTGTTAGAATATTATCCTCCCAGGATAGAACGATTTAACTCACTAGAGTATCGGTACCAAAAACGCCGGTAAACAACGAACCACTTAATGGCTGTAAATCACACTGGAATTTATTTGTGCAGAAGAAGGAGAAGTGTCGCGTCGCGCGCGGATCTTGGGTTATTCCGGATTGACTTTTCGATAATTAATTAAATTAATTAATTAAACAATTGAAAAAAATTTTGTCCAAAAAAATTAATCAATCAAAAGATTGAAGCTGAAGCTGAAGCCGAGCCAAGCGACGACGACGACAACGCGATGCTTACCTTCTTTCCAACTCATTTAACACAAAGAAAGTGCTTTCTCAATATAAACACATTTTCCTTCTATTTTTTTCCATTATCAACGAGAAACAATTGATCTTTCCAAAATATTTTTCCTTTCACATTTCTTCTCTCCATTTTCCATTCGCCAACCTTCAATCCCAACATATATGTCGGGCTATTTCCTCTATAACTAACCAAACATGATGTTGCAAATAATGAAGTGACACTGTACCACATTCGACCTTAACGTAGGATCACATAATCAGTTAAAAAATGCCTTAATACCTTTTCTTTTAATTTATTTAGTTTTTTATTTATTTTGGTAATATGAAAACAGAAAAAATAGTAGGAAAAAGAAGCCTGGTACGGATTCTAGATCTTCCCACAGGTGACTCTATCCTCTCTTTTTTCTTTCTTTTTTTTCTTTTTCTTTTTCTTACATAGCTGACTCTATCCACTATTCAGAGTTCACATTCACTTTTTTTTTTTTTTTTTTTTTCCGGTTTACATCATCGGCTTAAGTATAGTAAATATATATTGTTACTTTAGTTGTACATTTTTATCCATAATAATTTTTGTCATACTAGGTAATAGAACTCAATTGACTGCTCTCAATTCTGCTTCCTTTTTTTCAACCCAAAATTCTAGGGCTTGTGTCTTTTACTAATTACTCCTCAGTTCTCTCTCTCTCTTTCTTCTCATATCCTCATACGGGTAAGTTTCTTTTTCCTTTTTCCGTTTATTTTTTTCATCTTCAATTCTCAAGATTTGAGCTTTTTCATGAAATATGGGTACTTTTTGTTTCGTTAGAAGGCACAATTTTTATGTTTTTTTATACTCATGTGTTTGTGTTGGAATCCGTGCTTCTTTTCTGTATTTTCTCTTTGGAGCTTTTTCTTAAAATGGGTAATTCTAATTTATTGAAAAAGGCACAATCTTTATGTGCTTTTGATATGTGTTTGTGTTGGAATTCATGGTTTCTTTTTGAATTTCTATTTGATCGAGCTTTTTGTTGAATTGGGTAATTCTAATTTATTGAAAAAAGGCACAATCTTTTTGTGGTTTTTGATATGTGTTTCTGTTGGAATCCATTTTTTTTTTCTGTTTTCTCTCTTTGATTTTGATTTCGGAGTTTTTTCTGAAATGAGTTGTTCTAATTTGTTGAAAAAGGCACAATCTTTTTTTATTTATTTATTTATTATATATATTTGCTTATGTTGGAATCTGTGGGTTCTCTGTATTCCCTCTTTGATTTTCATTCTGGAGCTTTTTATTTGAAATTGCTAATTCTATTTTTTTTTTTTTTTGAAGAAATCACAATATTTATGCGTGTTTGTTATGTGTTTTTGTGTGAATGTATGGTTTTTTTGTTTTCCCTCTTTGATTGTCATACTGGACTCTGGAGCTCTTTCTTTTGGGTGGGGGTTGGGGGAGCTGGGTAATTCTAATTTCACGAAAAAGGCGCTATTTTTATGCATTTGTATATGGGATTGTGTTAGAATTTGTCGGTTTAGGTTATGTTAATCCATTTCTGATCATGGTCTGTTAGGGATATTGGGTGCTTTAATCTTGTTCTTCTATGGATAACAACAACAACAATAACATACCCAGTATAATCGCACAAGTGGGGTCTGGGGAGGGTAGTGTGTACGCAGATCTTACCCCTACCTGGTGAGGTAGAGATGCTGTTTCCGATAATCATAATTTTGTTCTTCTATGGATTAAGAACAAAAATAATCATAACTGTACTTCGATAACTATTGTGCACGAAGAAGCTCTTTATGAAAGCTCCTAGGAGGTCATGAATTCTCATTTGATGAGTCCCTCTTAGGTAATAGACAGTTCTTGAATTTTGAGATGAGGTTGGTCGAAGGTGTGATTGTTGATACAAGTGAGATGTGTGATAATTCTATCAATAGGGGCGTCTCATTCTTTACCAGCTGAAACTTTGATCTTCTGCAAACAATGTTGTCAAAAGCTAAAAGCGCCGAGAGCCTGTTGGGGCTCTAATTGCAATTAATTAATTAAAGCGTGTTTACTAAAGAAATGCGCAATGAAGAAAAACAAAATCATAATGCACACGTATATATATGTAACGCAAGAAAAGAATCTACCAATACAAACAACTGTATGAACAAAGTAATCGAGAAAATTACTAATAAGTGAAATATATCAAATAAAACATGTAAAGTAAGTTAAAAACCATATAATTTTGATTTCGATTGGAAGATTCAGTTTGAATTTTCTAATTTGGGTTAAATGACTAGTCTTGTGTTAACTTTTTAAATTTCTTTTTCTGATAAACAATAAATTCATTCGTAACCTTTCTTTGACAATGAATATGTTTCTTTACCATGATATATTTTGTCTAGCGCCATTTTCGTTCCAAGGTAGGGTTCGTGGGTGATGGGGCACAAACCTTAGTGCATCTCACCTGCACTAAGATGCTGCTTAAGCGATGTGAAGCGCCCTAGCACAGATTCATGTCGCTTCAAGGTCTTAATGCCTCAAATGAGCTTCGGCGACATTGTTTTAGGAGCTGAAGCGGTGTTTTCCATCCGGGGTGGATTTTTTTTCCCTTTGGGTGATATTGCCATGAGTTAAGGCATCCAAGGATGTGGCCTAACGGTTAATCAAATGAGATGAAAGGTTTGGGAGACCTTGAACTCAGCAGAGACAACACGCTTGGTCATTTTTTCCTTTTTGCCTAAGCCTTGGTGGGTAGTGGGTTTACTAGGTAACTATATTGGTGGAAGGTAGAAGGTATACGATGCAATAATCAGCTGGTCCAGACACCAGCAGTTCAAAAAAAAAAGTGATGGTTGATATAAAACGATGTGTTTTCTCTTGCATGTCAATTGATTATAGTCTACTGAGGTTCCAGGTAGTTCTAGCAACCGAAATGCCTCATTTACTAGTGGAATCACTCTGCATTTTTTATGGGTTTTGTTCACCGTGGAAGTTCCTACAAATTTAAATAATATGGGTTGCTTTAGTTTTTGTGTGCAAGATTTAAGGGGGAAAAAGGATTTTGCATTGTGTCTATAAATTGAAGAAGTTGTTCTATCTTTACGTTTTCTTCCCTTTTTTTTTTTTTTTTTTTGTGTGTGTGTGGGGGGTTATATCTTATGAGAAAGAGTATTGTTGGTATGAGAAGTCTTGACTAATCTCTGATCAAAAGGTTCATAATGTCACTTTACTTGGACAATCAAATAGTCTTAATTAATTACCCAAAAAAAAAATAGTCCTAATTCTGCAGTTTGCTATAGAAGTACCTCCACTTGTGAAAAGTGTAAATTTGAAAAGTGCTTTAAGGGTTCTGCTTTAGCTTTTTGGCATTTTTGCCTACTTAGTTGCTAGCAACAAACAACAACAACATACCCAGTCTTATCCCACACCGTGGGGTCTGGGGAGGGTAGTGTATATGCAGACCTTACCCCTACCTTGCCTACTTAGTTGCTAGATTTGAGGTTATTTTAGACTGGCACTTTTGTGAAATTGATATATTGGAGAGTAAAGTTTCTTACCTTTTTTTTCTTTATTCCATTTAGCAAAAAGCTTTCGGTTCCTTATGATTGGGATTGAAGCACATTTGTTATTGTTGTACTTTCAGTTTTGAACTTACTAAAAGATGCACATATATCACTTAGACAAAAGACTTGAAAAGATCAAAGTGTTTTTCCAAGTGAAAATGAAGGCCATGATTGTTAAATGCTAGTCACTAGTCAGCAAATCCCACGTTTCCTCCATAAAAGTGTAGATCTAGAAGACATCTGAATGTGTTGTTTTCAGTAGCTGGACTTGGAACTGCATATGCAGTGCTTCTCTTTAAATGTAAACTCCCTGAACCCTATTTCCTGAACTCGTTTGTTGTCCTTACGATCAGGACACTCTATTGCGGAAATCTCTGAATAAAGCTACGGCAGTATGCCCTCAAATACCAAAAGCGCGAATCGGGAGGAACCCAATGCTTATAATGGTCCACGTTCCGCTGTGTATTCTGAACCTTGGTGGAATAGTACTGGTTATAATCCTGTTTCCCCTGGGTTGACGAGGGGAACTGCATCAGATTCGTCGTCATTGGAACAATCTATGGATGGCCAATCACAGTCTGATGGTGGAATCAATGAGGAGGAGGAGGATGCTCCTGAAAAATCACAAAGTATTATACCTTTGCATGCAGGTATCTCTTCAATTTTTAATGTTGTTAATGATAAAACAATCATGGTCATTAACGTATGGATAAGGTCTGGCTTTGGTGATTGGTTGGTTTTATAAATGTTCGGACCTTTTTTTAAAAAAAATGATAACAGAAAGAATAAAACAAATTAAAAACTAAAGGTTTCCTCCTTTTTTTTTAAAAAAAAAAAATCTTTTAATTGTCTTTACCTTTTCTGAGTTTTACTAAGTAATTGTCCTTTGTTGTCTGCCCGTAATTGTATCACTTAATTCATTTTCTGAAAAGCAATCTTATTGATATTGTTATACTAGTTAAATGTGTTGGTGTTAACGAAATCTTGTTTCAAGATTAGATGGGAGTTACGGGCAAGCGGATCAAAATTTTCAGCCAGCTGCGCCAACCATACCTCCAAAACTTGATGGCACCCTAACGCAGACCCAACAGCTTGAACTTGTTGGGCACTCTATAGTAAGTATGTTTGACTTTTCTATGGGTTTTGATATCTGTTGTAGTTATCTGTTTTATGGAGTTATTCAATTGATAATGTCATATGGCTAATGTGAGAGTTATTCTGTTTGATTGACATCCAGGCCTGTGCTCCTAATCCGTACGTTGATCCATACTATGGTGGGATGATGACAGCTTTTGGCCAGCCTTTGGTATGCACATTTTTAAATTTTCAAGTCAACTTCATGTTTTTAATTCCTTATTCAAATACTTCATCTAAGCTCTTCAAAGTGAAAGGTAACCTCACATTCTTAGACAATATTATTGATCATGCTGCTGATTTGAGTGACCGAGGGTATTGTCAGTGCTTTATACCTGCTTCTGTTCAGTTATTTATGGTGTTTCTGGAAAGTGTTAAATCATATATATGTGTTTGTCTGCTGCTGAGCCTCTACTAGCTTCTTGTCACTGACCGTTGTTTTAGAAACACTCACCTTCTCAGACACTACTTGCTGTCAAAAGCTTGTGCTTTACCGCCTTGGAATATATGTTGGAAGTGTATTACTTTCTCCGCTATTGTTCAGGAAGACTGGGATAGTCCATTCTTGTGGAAGTTTTAGGTCCGATTTGTACGTCTATGGATGCACTTCACCAGCGCCTTTATTAGGCATTGCAGGCACTGCGTTTAAGTGCTTCGTTAAATTTCCAACCAGAATGATTGAGAAAAACTCATTACTTAAAGAATGACAGAGAAAAATTTACCTAAGTTCAATCTTATAAATACAATAAATCTTAGAGTTTCTTGTAGCACTAGCAGGAAGCTTGTGCTTTTGCGCAAATGGGAAATCTAGAAACGAGGAGAGATGTTACAACTCATTGTCAGTAAAGGAGTTTGGATTCTTGATTTTGGGGCTGGGAGGTGGGGAGAGCATCTTTGGTTCCGTTTCTAAGTGAACCAGCACAGTCAAGTGTAAGCTATATAACACTTGTTTACAAGGTCGCCTTCCATCCTAATCAATATACATGGCGTTTTCCTATGAAAATTGTTGCTATATACGAGTTACTGTCTTCCGCAGAATGAGTAGTTTAAAGGACACTCTTCTCTGCTCGTTAAGTCATTAAGTTTATTTGGTATCATGCTAGTTCAAACATATGATGCTATGCATCTTCTTTGACATCTCCTTGAAGAATATTTCCTTGTTCGGTTCTACTTAATTTCAGGCGCTAGTGATCAGTCCTAAAAGATGAAGCTAAGCTGTCACTGATTCTGATATTCATTTTTAATGGTACATGATGCGTGTCTGTTTTTTCTTTAGGGTTGGGTACTGGCATATCATCTCTTTTTCTGGGGATACCTTTGGGTTGGAATTTTCTTTCTATCTATTTGTGCCCTTCTTCATGATGTCTTAATATGATCATTTTGCCAAAACAACACCCTTGACTTTGTATATTCTTTGAATCACAATTGACCAGAAAGCAGCAGTTGCACAACTCCTTAGCCTGTATCAGTAACATCTCTTTCTAACTGCCAGGATAGTAGCATTTTGAATTTGAATCACTTAGCACCTTGACATACAAATCCTCTTATTTTGCTGAGAATCCTCAGAGAGTTCCCTTTGGCCTTTTTTTTTTTTTTTTTTTTTTAAAATAACCGTGGTGTCCGGGCCAGCTTGCGCGCACCTTGACTAAATCCATGGGATGCCTGCTACCTCTCACTATCAAGAGGTACGGTAACTCTATCCACCAAGGCTTGGGAAGAAATCACCTAATGGAAGTGAACCTGAGACCTCATGGTTATAACCCACTTCATTGACGATTAGACCATACCCCTGGGTGCTCCCTTTGCCCTCTTTTATCTTGAAAGCTGAAGATGTGAGCTCGTGCGCATTTCTGCATCTCTATTCTTTTCTCAACTTAGAAAGCTGAATCCCATAGAAATAAAGGCTCTTGCTCGATCTTCGCTTCATTAATGACTCGACTCCTATGACATATTGTTGAAAATTACCTGCAAAACTGTAGGTCCATATTGGAGCGTTTTGTGCCAAAAGAGCTCTAAGATGCATTTCGCATTTCACCTGTTTCTACATTCCACCTTTACAAGTTGGATTGGCTAAACGAATTCTCAAATTCATCTATTCTGTTCCATTTGATTAGAAAAACAAAATAAAACATATAAAACTAGTGAAAAATGACATGAAAAAATATCATTATGTTAGCTTAAGTCTGATCTGGTTGGTCCAATGAGCATTATTTAATCTTAGCTCTAATTTATGGCAAGATTTTTGTTTTTTGAGGTCCTTACATATTGTTGAACTATTTAGGTTCCTCCACATGTACTTGATATGCACTATGCAAGGATGCCCTTGCCACATGAAATGGCTCAAGAACCTGTTTATGTTAATGCCAAGCAGTATCGAAGGATCCTGCAGCGACGACAGTCACGTGCCAAAGCAGAACTTGAAAAGAAGCAGATAAAAGCTAGGAAGGTTAGTATGTGCTCCACCCACAGGCCGCTCTTTCCATTCTCTCTTTCCTCCCTTTCTGTCTGGAAATTGTTTGGCACCTTTTACGAGTACTTACCACACAGTATAAGTGTTCTGGAGATATATAATCTTTGACCAACTGCTTGTACCTATCCAATTGGTATGGAGGCAGATCTATCTTAGGCGCTGATTGGAATTCCATATTTTCTGACTGGTTAACAGTATGTAATGAAATTCTGCAGTATGAAGAATTTTATATTTCAATGGAGGAGGACAAAGAACTGATGTCCTTATCGGAAAAAAAGGACAAAGAACGGATGATATATTCTTTTTGAAGTAAGTAAAAAGTATATGGCATTAGTGCCGAACTGATGTCCTTATCGGAAAAAAAGGACAAAGAACGGATGATATATTCTTTTTGAAGTAAGTAAAAAGTATATGGCATTAGTGCCGAACTGATGTCCTTATCGGAAAAAAAGGACAAAGAACGGATGATATATTCTTTTTGAAGTAAGTAAAAAGTATTATGGCATTAGTGCCCTCTAACTCAATACACCTTTTCTAAGAGGAAATAAAGGCCATCAACGCTAAATTTGGTCACTGTCCCTTTTGATAAATGTGGGACCAAATAGGTTTGTTTGCTTGTAACTGTTGTTTCCTTCCTACTTTTCCTATTCCAGCTTTTACAGGAGTTCGTAATTCATTGAAAAGGAAAACTTGTACCATTTTTATTTTTTTTATGAAAAAGGAAACCTTGTACCATTAGTTTTATAGTAAAACTATTCCCTCCATTTTATTTAATATGAAGATCTTTGAGTGGGTACAAAGTTAAAGAAAGAAAGAAAGACTTGGAACATGTGGTTTAAGCATGCCATTAAATTTCTGTGGCATAAGATCCTGTCATTAAGGATAAAACTGGGAGTATAGAGTTATATTGTTTCTAAAAATAGAGAGGTGCTGTTCTTTTTGGAACATCATTCATGTAAAATGGAATGGGGGAGAGTATTATTATTATTATCCATCCCTATAACTACATTGGCAAGATTATGGGATCAGGTGGAATGGGGTGGCACAACTTTCAGGCTTGATATATGAAATTTTTAGTAGTTGCACTATGTCGTCTATAATATTATGTCCTCTGCAGTCACTTCCGAATTTAATGATCTGGTGCATTTTCAAGGTAATGATACTGTATCCTTTCCTCATATTACAGCCATATCTTCATGAGTCTCGACATCAGCATGCACTGAGAAGGGCAAGGGCTTCCGGAGGACGTTTTGCCAAAAAGACAGATGCTGATGCTTCTAAGGGAACTGGTTCTGTGAGTTCATCGGGTTCTGAACCTTTGCAGTTCAATGCTGCTGATATTCAAAATAGGCACGAAAATGGAAGGTTGGCCGAGCTTCAGCATTCTTATTCAAATGGTAGCAGTTATGGAAATCAAAGTAGCTTTCAGGAATCAAAAGATGAGTACCAGTCTGCTGAAAGCAGGGAAGGAGGTTCCTCTGGCAAGTAATTGGGGATACGTTCGTGTCTAAACCAGCTTTTGCACTGCAACGAGGTTTGAGTATGGACAGAAAGTTTTACAGTTATTGTTTCATTTCTTGGCTTCTTCAAGCTGGGCGGCAAATCATTCTTGGCTTTTACTTTAGTGTTAACGGGAGCATAGAGACAACGAGCGTTGCAGCATTGCTTGGAAATCTACTTCTTCCCTTCTGTACAAATAGATGGAGTAGTTGTTTAGTAGGCTTATAGTTGGCCATTTACTGCAGTTTAGAAGACCATGTAAAGGGGTTGTTTGGTTTGTATACTTGTCTTATTTCCTTTCACTACTGTTGCAGAAATTTAGAATTTGGTTTGATTAGGGAGCTAGATATGGTAGGATACAATGGCAGATTTGAGGTGAATGGTCCAATGATGTGTTACTTTGTTTATTTTCTTGAGGTTTAATTTACCTGTTCAATGGTTAAGGTGTGCAAAACTCACAATTACAATGAAGCTCTACACAATTAAGATCATATTTTTTGAGCAGTGGTTGGTTTTAGAAAGAATGTCTGACCAACAAGAATATGCTTGGGTGACTAATTACTCGAGAACATTGAACGTATGTAACAGATAAACATAACTATATATTATTCACCTTAAATAGGCATGATTGATCTTTTGGATGTCTGCTTATAAATCAACTAAATTTTTTCAGGGAAAAAAAAATGAATCTTTTCTAAAAATTTGTAAGACAAGGTCCTGATACTACTTCAGAAATGTTTCATTATTCTCCTATCGAGATAGTACAATGCAGTATGAAATTCTTTCCCAAAGTTGATGCTTCCCTTGAAGCTAATCACCAGTAATATTGAGATGGACTCAACTTACAGGATAATTGATCTCCTAAGTAGAATCTGACCCTTAGTTTACAACCATTAAGCATGTATTTACACAAAGTTATGATCCGTTTCCTGATGAGAGAGAGATTCTTCTCATAGATTTTACTAAACAAGGGTTCAATGAGGAACCATAAAACAACTCAAAACACTTGGTCTTCAAAATTTGCAGCTTGCAGCTCCCATGAGTTAAAAATAAAGTATCATATATGGAAGGAGAAATTCTACAACAATAAAATTATTCTTGTCGACTTTACTACAAACTTCTATACTGATACATATTGAACATATAAGTAAAAGTTGAGGAACGAAAGACATAAAAAATTGCAATCTGCTGCTTTCCTGAAAGCACATGTTCTAATAGTATAAATTATAAGTTTTTCTGATGATCACTATCTTCTACATTTTCAGTGACTTCCTCGACTTCTTCTTTGGGCGTGGATTCATCTACAACAGCTGGGGAAAATACCTTTTCATCACTACCCTTGCTATCAGTTACATTATCATAAGGCTCGGTAACGTTCATCACAGTTTGCTTTTCCATCATGCCTGACAAAGCCAGACTTGGAGACCACTCAAGTACATCGTCAATAATGTTAGAAACCCGCCTCTGATACCTGCAAGAAAGGAATTCTTTTTCAGGGACAAATCACAATTGTGCATAACATTCTCGTATCCTTGTAGAACAAATCAACATATATACGACAACATACCCAGTATAGTTTTACATGTGGGGTATGGGGAAGGTAGTGTGTACGCAGACCTTACAACAAGAATTACCAGCTTAAGCAAATTGAGTCTATAATTACAAAACTAAGTTCAACATTATTTATTGGTATTGTAAGGCCCCGCAAAATTTTGCCCAAAATCCGAGGTTTTGTGGTGCCGAGGTAAGCTAACGTGTTTGAGGATTGTAGAAGCGGTACGGACTTTTGGGATTGCTCAGTGCGTCGAGGAGTTGAAGGAAAAAGTTTGTAGAACATGGTAGTTTTGCGGTCCACTATGCGAAGAACCAATTTGCGGACCGCAGATCGGCTGCGGATTGAAGTAGATATATTTGCCAATTTTGAGGACCATTATGCGGCCGCATAAACGTTTTGCGGGCCACAGATCCCATCGCAGATCCAACATGAGAAATTTCGGAAGGAGGTTCTGCGGTCCATTATGCGACCGCAAAATTGGTCTGCAGACCGCAGACCGCAGACCTGTCGCAGAGTGAAACAGAAACGCCCAGTTCTGGAGGGCCATTATGAGGTCCATTTTGCGGACCGCAGATCTGCGTCGGGGCTCCATTTTTCCAATCTTATAACCCGACCCCCATTTCATTTATCTAGCCTAAGTGTTCATTTTTGGGGGACTACCTGATATTTTAGAAAGAGGAGAAGGCTATTCTAGAGAGAGGAAAAGAAGGATGATTTCACTACTCCACTTTGATCAAACCTTGGAATTCCATCAAAAGGAACTTGCTAGGACTTCAAAAAGGTAAGAATTTCTTCCCCTAATTCTTCAATTTCGAGTTTGGGTTGATTATGGGGGTAGATTTATCACATGCATGAGTTAATAGAGACTGCGGGGAAGTTGTTGAACCATTTTGGATGGTTTTGTTCTTGAATTAGTTGAGGAAAAGGTCGTCATAGTCGTAACAGCCCTTGCCATGCGAATTCCTCTAATCGTGCTTATAATTCTCTCCCCCTTGATAGATTAGCATCGTTAGGAGTGTTGGGACATTATTGTGGCACTACGAAAAGCTCTTTCGAGGTATGAAGGCTAAACTCTTTTTCTGGTATTGGAATTCCCGTGTTTTTACAAAACTCCATCGTGTGAAGTTCGAACATGGAACGCTATTGATGTGGGGTATTCAAACTAGTAAAATTGATTCCCGATTGGCATAACGTGTTAGAACCCGCGTGTGTTAATGATACTCTATTTTTGACTTAATTATGTTATACCCCTTTTGGGAAGAAAATCTTGTACGAAATCAATGTGATTAAACACTTATTTCTCATATGATGAAACCTCATAAACTTATACTTGTTAAGGCCAAAGGTGCCAAATGGTTGATTGGAAGGGAACTCTTTTGTACAAACTATTATCGTTTTGGGAATCCGAGGTGTGGCATTGTGAATACACCTCCACTCGCATACATAAGGGTGAGGCGACGGGGCCGCTTTATGTAGAGTTGTGGTATTGTGAATACACCTCCACCCGCATACATTGGGGTGAGGCAGCAGAGCCGCTTTGTGTAGAGTTGTGGTATTGTGAATACACCTCCACCCGCATACATTGGGGTGAGGCGGCAGGGCCGCTTTGTGTAAAGGTAGCTAGCTGCATAGGATCCCCAACTTAGAAATTTGTAAATGTTATTGAAAGCTCTTAATAAACTTGCTATGGCTTTAACGGCTATCTAAGCCTTTTATTGTTACCATGATTCATCATATTCATGTTGTATTTCCAAGTCCTTGCATAGGTACTTGGTTTTCATACTAGTACTATTCGACATGTACTAACATCCCTTTTTCAGGGGCGCTGCATCTTTAATGGATGCAGGTGATTCCACAGCGGAAGGCATTGACCAGTCATAGCGGTACACTCTCTTCCCAGTTGACTTGGTTGGCCCCACTTCATTTCGGGGTCGTGCATCTTTTGTTCTGTGTGTATTATGTTTTGAGGTATAGCCGGAGCCTTGTTGCCGGCACTATCATTGTACTATTTTATATCTATTAGAGGCTCCGTAGACATGGTGTGGGTTGTGTATTGGTATTGGGAAAGTCAAGATAGTAATGTCGTATGTGTATTACATGTTCCACTTCAAACTATGAAAGTGTATGTATTTTGGGACTTTATAAATGAAGTAACTAATGGTGATGGAATTAGTGTTGTTCATGAACCCCTTGGTGTTAATTAATGAAGTTTATCTTCTCTTTATTTATGGGTGAGTTGGGTAAAAGGCAATCCAACAGGCTTGCTCGACCGTGTTATCTCGGTTGAACGCCGGTCGCGCTCCCCGAGGTCGGGGCGTGACAAACACGGGACATGACAGGTATTATGGAATTGTCATGATACATAGGTTGATCATTCAGTCGTTTTCTTACTCTTGATTTAGTTTCCTAGTCTCATACTATGTTTGGAAAATTTAAGATCATGATAACATTTGATCCCATCTTATTCTAAATTTTAAAAAATTAAGCTAGATCTAGTTCAATCCAATTTGTGTTTGATCTTTTCTTCTTTTTTTATGTCAGAAAAGGTTCGGTGTTAGTAAGGATTTGCAAAGTTTCTTGGCAAATTTATGGATCTAGATTCAATTTCCAAAACTTGCAGTTAATGTTTAATATATACCAAAGTATAAAATACCGTAATACGTTACAAGTAATAAAATGCATCATATAAGGTAATAGAACATCTTTATAAAACAGATAAAGTTTGGTCCCACTGAATCTGGATTTTCATAAATCATCAAACAGGTATCGGAGTATAAGTGCAAGTAAGCAAACCTGGCTCTTGCAGCCTCATCAGGAGCATGATGCCTCAGGATCAAAATAGCCACCACAGCTATAATTGTATAGAAGAGCCTTGCAGTCCACTTAGGTCGCTCGCCCTCATCTTTCTGGGGCCAAAACTGGAACAATTCTTTGAGTGTTGCCTCCTCAGCAAGAATGTTGGGGAAAAACCAGACTCGTTTGCCAAGAAGAATCCAAAAAGCACCAAAGACCATGGCTCTCACTGCAAGCATCACCATATTCTTTTTCGGTAACCATCAATTTATTCTTTCAAATAGCAGTTAATTCAAATAGCATTGCGAAGATATACTATACAAAGCTAGATGAGCGTGATTTATATGTCAAAAAAAAACAAAGATTTTATGGGCAGGATGTTGGCTTGAGTATACTTAGGGGTCCTTTGCTATAAATTACATCCACTAGATAAAATAACATACGCTATTATTTCCAACTCTTGTGTTTTCATGACCGTGTCTGACATGAACCTAGTGACGTGTATATTTGCTACCTAGACGAATCAATACATTTTAACAGTGAGCTGAATCTATTAAATATAACCCACAAACAGCTGCTACGATAAGAATGCCAAAAGACACACCACAACTAGGTACTTTTCCTTTTTAATCTACTTATTATACAGTACTAATTAAGAAATTATCAACAGAGTCACTTCAGACCGCTTATATAAGCCACAACTTTCAAAAGGGTTGGTCAAAACAACTTGACGAGGACAATATCAACTGACCAAGCAACCAACAATACAATTCTTTTGTGCACCTCTTTACTAATTTCCGTACAACTTATTTTGGAATCTATGTATTATTTAACACGGAATAGAATGTGTAGTATGTATTATCACTATGTGGATACGATTATCTAAAGACAAAAATGCTCTTATGTTAGGCAATCCTTCCATAGCAATTCTTATATTATTATTCACAACATTAACAATCTCTGCATTATAATCCCCACATAACTAGCTATAATCCATACAACGCGAACATCCTGAACCTGTTGCTTTGGTCATTCGAATAAAGTATTTGGTTTGGATGTGATATATAAAACAGCTACTTGTTTGTACTTAATGAG